CAAAGATGGATTCACAGAGAGGATGTCTCTGAAGTTGTCTCTAAACATGGAACCTTTATCAATTAGGCACTCCTATGTTCTGCTTCCAAGAAAAGATCAAAGGGGTAAGGCTTCATCTCCTCAAATGGAGCTGCAAGTTTAAAACTGAATCTGCAAAAAAGATGGAGAGCTTGCACAGACAACTTGCTGAACTGAGATGGGAAGGAGGGTTGAGGGATTGACACAAGTGGGATTGTATCCAAAAGGAGTTGAATAAATTGTACAAAGATGAAGAACAATTCTGGCAGCAAAAATCAAGAATCTCCTAGCTAAAACATGGAGACAAAAACACTAAGTTCTTCCATGCCCAGACCACCCATAGAAGAAGAAGGAATAAAATCACAAGACTTATTAATGATGACTCTACAGTCTGTGAATCTCAGGATGAAATATCCCAGTGTATTGAGGAGTTCTACAATAATCGTTTTTCTACCCAAGGTCCTTCTGGGTCTGATCCTGTGCTAGATGAAGTATCTCCTGTCATTACTGAAGCTATGAACACTGAACTCACTGCCAATGTTGAGGAAGAAGACATTAGAACTGCTCTCTTCTCTATCTCCCCTCAGAAAGCTCTTGGGCAATATGGTATGACCTCTCTGTTCTTTCAACACTTTTGGGATATCATTAAGAAAGACCTTTTGTGTCTTGTGTATAGCTTCTTCCAATCTGGTAAAATGCTAAAGAGTATCAATCACACTTTCATTTCCTTAATCCCTAAAGTGCAGAAACCTGATAGGATATCACAATATAGACCAATCAGTCTATGTAGTGTTACCTATAAGGTTATTTCCAAAATTTTGGCATCCAGATTAAAGCCTATTCTTCCTCTCTGTATCAATGATTCTCAGTCTGCTTTCATTTCTAAGAGGAATATCCTTGACAATGTAATCCTAGCCCATGAAGTCACTCACTTTCTTAAAAACCATAGATCAGGAAGCTCTTGTTACATGATGATCAAATTGGATATGTCTAAAGCTTTTGACAGGGTTGAATGGTCTTGTGTTAGAAACATCATGCTTAAGATTGGCTTTCATGACTCTTTTGTTAAGTGGATTTTGGCTTGCCTTAACTCTGTCTCCTTTTCATTTAATGTCAATGGTTCTATGTGTGGTTATGTTATACCCTCTAGAGGAATCAGGCAGGGAGACCTCTTGTCTCCCTACATTTTTTTGTTGGTTTCTCAGATCCTCTCCTTAATTATTAACAGCTTTGTTGATTCAGGGGAATACAAAGGAATAAAAATCTGCAGAAACAGCCCCACCCTTACTCACATTATGTTTGCAGATGATACCCTCATCCTTTCCAAAGCTGACCCCTCCCAAGCACAGCTCATTCTCAAAATTCTGAACCAATACAATGCCATCTCAGGGCAATGTGTCAACTTACAAAAATCCTCTGTCATTTTTAGCAAAAACACACCTCAGACACTCAGAGACAATATTTGCCAAATCCTTATGGGAATTCATCCACAAAGCTCATCCAAATATCTTGGCCTTCCCCTTGGGATAGACAAATCAAAACTTGACACCTTTTCATACATTAACCAAGCAGTCCAAGGCAGATTATCAAAATGGCAAAACACATTCCTCTCTCTTGTAGGTAAGGAAATTCTCTTGAAGGCTGTCCTGGAAGCCCTACCTATTTATGCAATGTCATACTTCATGTTGCCAAAAGCTACCTGTGAAAAATTGGCCAAGAGTTTTGCTGATTTCTGGTGGCAAAGCAAGAAACAAGGATCCCAGGGCATTCACTGGAAATCATGGAAACACATCACACTGCCCAAGTGCAAAGGTGGACTGAGATTCTATGACATCCATCTTATGAATAAAGCATTAATATCTAAACAACTCTGGAGGATCCAATCTCAACCTGAGCTACTGGTAAGCAAGGTCATCAAGGCTAAATACTTTCCCAACTCAACCATTCTTCTTGCTAAAGCTCAGTCAAATTCCTCATGGCTCTGGGTAAGTTGGAGGAAAACCTTGGCATTCTTCAAAGATAATGTCTTCTACAAGGTGAACAAAGGCTCTGATATTCTAATCTGGGACCATCCTTGGATCCCTTCTCTACCTACACACAGGCTAAACAGTTGCAATCCATGGAAGCACAACTTATCAAAGGTAAATGAGCTTTTAGACGATACAGGCAGGAGATGGAATGTTGACTTGATCCACCAGTGCTTCCCCCCAAATGAAAGTGCTGCCATCCTTAGTATCCAAGGAATGGACCCTCTGCTAGAAGACAGACTCACTTGGGCCCACTGCAAATCTTGAGACCTCTCAGTTGCTGAAGTTTATAGAGTGCTAGTAGAGGAAAAATGGAATAAGCTTGATGTTCCAGAATGCAGCTTGATTACAAATGAGATGCAATCAGCCAGAAAGAGGATGTGGTCCTTGAAAATCACAGGGAAACTCAAGCACTTCTTGTGGAGATGTTTCACTCACACTCTCCCTGTCAACCTAAATCTCCACAAGAGAATTAAAGATATTGACCCTGTGTGCAAAATATGTGGTGCTGAGCCAGAGACGGTTGAACATCTTTTGTTCCATTGTCCTAAATCACAAACAGTCTGGAAACTAGCTGCTATTGACTGGGAGGGCATCAAAGAGGACACTTCTGATTTTACACATTGGTGGATCAAGCTAAGCACACTCAAGAGAAATGCCATGGCTGATAGAAGACTTCAATTGACAATCTTCCTCCTTTGGTGGATATGGAAGGCCCGCAACCAATGGGTTTTCCAAAACCACTGGCTCCCTGAATTCTCAATAGCTCAAACTGCTTTATCAGCTTGTTTAGAAGCTTATTATTTGGGCAAGCCTTGATCCTGGAGCTGTGTTTTGGTTTTTGTTTTAGGTTTGTTGTTTGTTTCTTTCCCCTTTGTTGTTTTAGCTTGCTTTGGTTGTTGGTAGTGATAGGCTAGCTAGGTCCATTGGTTCAGTGGCTAGTCTATCTTTTGTGGATGCCTTTTGTATTAGCATTACCATTTCACTAACTTATCTTGGTCTCCATGACTTCTGCTCATGCCAGGTATAAGGTTCTGAAATGGATTTTTGTTCTTTTGGTTAGATCACCATTGTTGGTGCTTCTGTCATTCTGCCTCGTTGCAGCGCTTGTAATTACTCTTTCTTTCATTTGTTATAAAAT